AAAAGTGTGTCACATTAGATTGGATAGAAAGAAAGGATGGGAGAGGAGCGGAGGAGTAGGGAGGATGGGAAGGGCAGCAGAATAGAATAGAAAATATAATTGATGTATGTATATTCCATGTATGTATTATATGTCAAAATACACTCTGCTGTCATGTATGACTAAAAAAAATAATAAGAAGAAATCACATGGTAAAAAAAAAAAAAGTTCCTCACATCTTCTTTCAACTGCTTGAGCCCCAAACATTGCTTTTTTGATATGAGCCCCTACACAGCAGCCACAGATGTGAAACTATTTTTAATTTGAGACTATCACAAATCCTCTGCTTTATGCAAGGAGTATTATGTTGTTTTGTAGACATGCTCCCAGATAATATTTATATAGTGGATATTTAGTGTATTTATTTTAGATTACATATATTGCCTTAATGTTGTCACTCCATCACTTTTTTATGTAGTGTTTCATGTTTCATATTCTCCATTTATAAAACTTTTGTGATACAAATACAGTGTTTTTGTTGCAGTTTCCATACCATGCTGCATTTTTATCATGACCGTAATGAAATATATCTGTTTTTAAGTTTCTCCTGATAAGAAATTTTAAAAATATTGCTTGTCCTTGATTTTTCAATTCAGTTCTCAGCCATTTCCCAAGTTTATTTTAAATCCTTGTTATAAGCTTCAGAAGTTTTTCTCAAACATATTATCCCCATTGAATAAAAAGTTCACCAGATGTAATTTTTTTTTCTTATTCTTTTCTTTTCTTTTTAAGGGGAGAGGAATGAGTACTTAACCCAGGATAGTTCTCCCAAACCCCTGTGTCACCAGCACTTTTAAATTGTATTTTATTTTATTTTTAGTTTTCAGACAAATTTTTGCTTAGTTGCTTAGGGCCCTCTCATATTATTTAGGCTGAAATATAAATTGTGATTCTCCTGATTAAGTCTCCCAAATTATTAAGATTGCTGACATGAGGCACCATATGTGTATAAACCCCCCTTTTTGAAAAAAAGTCACTAGTTAACCTTTAAGAGAATTTAAAAATAATGATGAATCATGGCTCCTAAAGGAGATAAGATTTGCCTTTGGGTCAGGCATATTTGATCTTGATATGTACTTAAAAATTGTGGGCAAACAAGAAATCATATTTGTAAGATACTGTCTCAAATTAAAAAAAAAAAGAAAAAATTGAAGATATAGCTCAGGAATAATATTCCCTCAGTTTAACCACCAGTACTACACTCAAATACACACACACACACACACACACACACACAGAGTACTTGTGGGACTTTGAAAATCTTTTTTGATACTGAACAGCTGTATAAACCTCATCTATTACAAAAGGCAGAATTAGTGCCATAATATCAGTAGTCCTTTAGCCTTATCTGTGCACAGAAATTTGGTAATGCAATTTTACTCCTATGCTAGTCAAATGTCGAATGTATTTTCCAAACTTTGGGTCAGGGCTCTTCTTATTTTTTATGGCTTATATAAATGTGTGGCTATGAAAGAGTACTTGTCAGGTACCTAGTCAGGAAATATTTTTTTAATGATTTTGCTTTTGCTTTTAGAACACTGTCTCCTTTATGAGAACAAGTCCACCTTAATTTATTTGATTCTGAGATATCATGTGAAGAAGATTCACAGTAACCAGGTCCAGAACCAAGGCAGGATTTCCTGGCATGGAATGGATGCCCTGTTGAGGAGAGGGTCATAGGAAGAAGTTGAGGCTCTCACCAAGGTCCAGATGAGGTTATAGAGTTTGAGAGAGATGAGGATCTCACAGAGGGTCAGGAGAACGATAACAAGTAATGAGATGTCAGTCCAGTTCCTCATCAGGCTCTCCACCTCGAGTGCATCCTTGTTTCAGTTGGCTGAATCCCTTTTCATTAGCTCTATTTTTACACTAAATTTTGGGGCTTTATGACCCCCCTTGCAATCCTTATCAGCTACCTCCAGATTTCTCCAGGATATCATTTACCCTGGGGTCAGAAACATCTGGTCTGGTGGTCTCCACCCTTATTTTCTCACTTTATCCTCTTATCAGGAGAGTACAGCCTGCCAGAGGCTTCACTCTGTTTATCAGAGTAAGGGGAAGTAATTGTCTGAGGTCATCTGTGGGTGTGACTGGTGAGACTGCAGGTTTCAAACTGGTGTTTTTAAAATGGAGTTGCTTAGGCTCAGGCCTAAGGCCATTCTCACCATTCACCCACTTGATTCACATTGTACATCCTGGGGAAGGGGTGCCTAAGCTTGGCACTGTGAATCATCCATTCCATTGGCCAAAGGCTGGACTTCACATATGTCCAAAAGTCACTTCTCATTGTGGTTTGTTGCATTGTTCCATAACCACCAATAGTGGCCATAGTTGAATTACATCTGTTTAAGACCAAAGTTTTTGCAAGGTACCCAGGGATTGAAATGATAATATAATCAAAATCAAGCGGTATGATAGGGTTGAGACATTTATAAATTTGTCTTGCATGTAAGTCCCAATGAACTAATTCTGTTACATTGTCCTAGTTGATTCTAATAGTCACTGTAAGGCTCTCAAATGCTCTGAGATATATTGAATCTAAATACTGACTAAAATACAAGAATGAGGGTGGTTCCTCTAATTATATATTCATAGGCATTGCAATTCCAACTTGAATCATTCTGTGTTAAAAGTGGGACTCTGTCCTCAAGTCACCTCCTGGGAAAGATGTGGGCAGAAAAACAAAAGATGGAGTTCTCACTGTTCCATTATAAGCTCAGGATTTAGATCTTCAATGGCTATTTTTGCTGAAAAAATAATGTGACTTTCCAGTGTTTTGTAGCCTGTGAGTGATGCTTGCAGGCTTTCAGAAACTGTGAGAACATGGGTCGGTTTTCCAGTCCAGCCACATACACACCCCACTGCCTTGGCTAATTGTTCCAGCAACCCCCCTGCTCATTCCACATCTGCAAAGTGGGACTTATGCAGTTTGGGATCCTATAGTGGTATTGGGGATCAAAGAACAGGCTGTGGGGATGAGTGGGAGACCCCCACATAACTGGAAGCCTTGTAAAACCAAGGTATGCCCAGGAGCCATGGGGCTGCACTTTGGGCCTGAGAGACATTAGTTTGCAATGTGTGGCCCAATTGGCTTCTGGGGGAATTTAGCAGGAAACCTACTCTGCATTTAGCATGCTTGTTTTGGTGCCAATAAACTCATAGAGAGACAAAGGGGCAAGAAAAATGATAAGGCCGTGGTACACACCCAGACCACATGTGCTTAGCAAGGTTAACTTCTTTACCTGATTCCTTATTAATAAATGGGAAGAATAGAACCCACCTCATGGAATTTTCAGGAAGACTGAGAGATAGGGGTGGACAAAGCATCAAGCCCCGTGTCTGGCACACAGTAAGCTCTGTAAATTTTATCTGTGTTATAGAAGACAATTTAAAATTTTTCTTCCTCCATAGACAGTAACATCCTGATATCTTCTCTTTCTGCTTTTACAAGAGTGGACTCACCCTGATCATCCCCAACCCAGCTGTAACTGGAGCCACAGAGGTTTCTGAACAAGAATGACTGCAAGATGAACCTGGGAAAGGAAGACAAGGAGAGGAGGCCATGGCTAGGAGGCTCAGGAAAGGCAGTATTTTAATCACCCCCAAGGGCAGGCATGTAAAGGGTCATGAGAGATCACAGTGATGGAGTGCAGGCTCAGGCAAGGCCAGAAGGACCAGGACCAAGAACACAGGACTTGTTGTTATATAATCCACGGCCCACTCTGCTCAGTGCTTTACCCTGGGCCAAGGAGGGCAGCATGACCAAGTTATTGAAGTCTTTTCCACTGAGCGAGCACTGTAAGAGTCACTGCCTTTAACTGACACTTGGCACCACCCATGTGCTCTCTCTAGAAGAGATAGGTTCCAGAAGGAAAGACCATGGCTTTTCCAGGAGTGGGAGATAAAAAAGAGAAAGAGAGGGATGGAGTGAGAAATCTCAAGATGGAAAGACCAGATACTCTCAATTCCCTGTTCAGAAAAGAAACCTGGCCTCTGACCTAAGCACACAGGATAGAATGAAGCAATATTTAATCACAAGACACATTTGAGTGAGGAAATTAGGCAAATAAGAAAAAATCTCCTGACTTTTCTCCCAGAGCCCCCTCCCAACTCCCACCCCCTCTTTTATTTAGCAAGACAATGAGGATACATGAAAAGGTTCCCAGAGGCAGGACACATGTCAAGGCAAATGTGGAGATGAGGACAGTGCAGATTCCCAAATTCAAACAGCCCCTTAGGGCCCGCCCACCCTATTTTTTGCATTACTCATTGGCTGGGAAATGGGAGGGAGGGTTGCTGGGGTCCTAACAGGCAACTCCTGTCAGCTCCTGGCCCTGCAGCTGGCATGCTGGGAGGGGGACGCCCCCTGTGCTGGGGGTGGTGTTCATTCCAGGGCACGGTCAGGCTGGAGTCAGGTCCCTGAACCCCATGACTAGGACTCAGGATGGAGGAGGGGGTGTCCTCAGCTGGGATGTCTGGGGACTCACCTTCCCACAGTCTGTCATGTGTCAGGATGGCAGGGCACCTGATCAATAGGGAATGAATGGCCCCCCAAGGAGAAGCCCCCATCTCAAGTCCTCAGAGGGCCCTGTCCTAGTCCCTGAAGAGTTAATAGCCCTAGTGCCAGGATAAATTAGAGAATGGCAGAGTGAAGACAAGTCACCCATCAGGCTGCCCGGGACCCCATGTATGCGTGACCTCAAAAGCATGTTCCTTCCTCTTCCTGTGCCTCAGTTGCCTCACATTCTGAATAGGAAAGTGTGCTCATGGCATTTCCATGGGACCATGAGGTCATCAATGTACAGCAGTTAGCCGAGTCCCTGGAACACAGTGAGGCTTGGTAAACATCAGTGATCTGCGCCATTCCCTAAATGCACAGATGAGGCCCAGAGAGGGCTGGTGGAGCTCCCCAATCACACAGATTAACAGCAGACACAGGACTTGACTGGAGCTTCGGGCTGTCCAGCAGAGATTTAGGGGAAGGATGGGTGGAGGCCAGGACCTGGCCCTGCCCCCCCTCCCCTCTGGGAATGGTGCTTGGCAAGAAGGTAGGAGGAACCTCTGAAGCCACTGCTCCCTAGGGCTGGTGGAAACTGGAGCCAGGTCCTGGCAGGGCCTCCGCAGGGCCTGGGCAGGGGCAGCTGTCCAGAACTGTCTGTCTGTGGAAGGGACAGGGAGGCTGCCACTAGGAGCATGCAGTGTGCCAGTCCCTGGGGCCAGGCCGCCTCAGCCTGCTGGCTCCATCCAGAGCCCGCCCCAAGGGATGCTGGGGGAGGCAGCCAGGATCAGAGCCGAAGGCTGTGCGCTCCCCTCCCTGAGCAACAGGGGACTAAAGGAGGAAGGAGGGGGCCCAGGACGGCTGGGGGAGGGGCCCAAAGAGCTCAAGAAGGCATCCAGGGGGAGGGGACCAGGGGAGAATGCCTGGAAAGGCAAACCCATGTGTGGGGTGGGCCTGGGGGGCGGGGAGAGCAGCGAGGTGCTGTGGCTTGGGGTCCTCAAAACCGCCTCAGAATTAAGTCCAGAGAGGCCTCGGTCCTGGCTCCTGCCCCAGAAGGCCAGTGCTTGCCTCTCCTCATCCCCAACCCTTCAGCCTCTTCCGGAGGCATGACTGGCCCCAGCCCAGGTGTCTCTGAGGAGCATCTCAGACCGTGGCTCTCTGGCTCAGACCTGGAGGGGGGCCCAGCTGGGACCCCGCTGCCCAGCCAGAAGGTGGGTGCAGAGAAATGTAGGGAGACGAGGTCCAGCCAAACCCCAGGCTCAGTGGGACCACAGCCATGCCAGGCCAAGTCAGGTCCTGTCACCAGGGAGAAAGGTGAGAGTAGGCTCTTGTCCCCCCCAGAGGAGCCCCTGGGGAGCCTGGGTGCAAAATGAAAGGGAGGCAGACAGGAAATGCCAAAGAGGGCTGCTCCCCAGCTGATGGGGAAGCCAGGCCCCAGACCCCCAGAGGAAGGGACTGGGGATCACAGTTTGATCCAGGGAGACACGGGCTGGTGGTCAGCCTCCACCCCTGGCTGGCCCTGACCCAGTCATCAGCCTGTCTCCCAGCTCCCAGCTCCTCCACCCAGCATGCCCCCCCCCCCCAAAAAAAAAGAAACAACACCCAGGCAACTCGATATGGTCCAGAAACCTCCAGGGTCCCTGGGTTCCAGGAAGCCAGGAGCGGGTGGAGGGCAGAGAATACAGAGGCTCGGTTCAGTGGCCAAGGAGCTAGACTTCAGGAGGGAGAAGGGCTGGAGCTCAGAGCCCCTCAACCAGCACAGGTGCCCCACGAAGGGCAGCCTGAGAAAGCAGGCTCGTGAGGGGGCACATACTCACCGGTTCTTCAGAGATGTCACAGTGAAGATGATGCAGACTTACAGGCCAGGCCCGGGGCCAGAGGGCAGTTTGGGTGGAGGCAGAAAGAGGCCCAGAGGGCAGGGCCCCGATTTGAGTCCCTCAGCAAGGCCACACACCCCCAACAAGCACATCCAAGTTTCCAAGTTGAGCCAGTGGAGCTCCTGAGGCCTGGGGGATGGGATGGGAGGGGACAGAATAAAAGAGAGGACTGTCCACTCCAGGTCCCTAAAAGAGGTAAGCACCTCCCACATGGCAGGACAGAGATGCTGGCCCAGCTGGGCCCAGCAATAGACACTGCTATGTTGCAGCAGCCAAGAAACCAAGAAGCAGGTAAAGCCCAGCCCAGCACCCACTCAAATGTCCCAGGAACTGGCCTCGTCCTTTCAGGTCCTTACAGGCAGGGGCCACAGCCTCCTCTTCTCCTTCCTCCTTTGCAACCCTGGGGAAGGCACTCAGAGCCAGAGGGGACTACACACCTTCCTCAGCAGCCACCTCTCTTCATCCTGCACCAGCTGACATGTCACCTCCTCTGCAATGTCCTCTCCGAGGACCCTGTCTAAGTCAGATAAGCAGAGCAGTCTATCAGCAAGAAACTGCCTCTTGGTGGAACTGTTTACTCTTTACTGGGTTCTCACTGCCAAATACCCCATCCCACCAACTGTCTGCTCCCCCAAGGTAGAGAGACCCCACAACAGCAAAAGGCCTGGGCCGGACTCAGAATATCCCTCAGAGGAAGGAGCCTGTGCATGAATTTGAAATGGCAAACACAGAATGATGACTACCATGTGCCTGCTAACCTCTCTTTAATTTCTTGGACATGTGCAAATGCACTCAGAAGGCCCCCATGCCCTGATGCCCAGCCCGTCCATGCACGCCTGGACACCCTACAGGAACAACACGGTTCTGGAGTCAGAGAGGCCTATATTCGGATCCTATCTGGTCCTAGCTGTGCCTCAGTTTCCTCATCTGTAAAACGGGGATAATCATGGCCTTACTCATAGATACTGTGAACGCATGTTAACGAATGAACGAAGTGAGTGCGCAGAACTGTCCCTAGGACCTGGAAATTGCATTTATTTGTATTGCCATACATTCCGATGGTCCAGGCTGCAGTCCCTGCCTCCTTTAACCCCGCCCCAAATCTGAGGGCCAATCAGTGCTCATGGACCCCAGAGCTCCCCCAAGGCGCACATCTGGCCAGCGGGGGCATCAGCCCACCCATGACTGGCGCCCAGCTGAGGGTGAGAGGCTATGGCGGCCCCCCCTCAGCGCGGGGCCTGGGACTCCACAGTCCCGGGGGCGCCAGACTCTGAGGAGCGGGCAGCCAGCGCGGTGAGGAAAAATCCGGCCCCACCAGGGCAGCGCAAGCGAGTAGCGGCAGCCTGCGCCTTCCCAGCCAGAGCCCTGCCAGGGCAGCTTTGTGCCCAAATCTGGCCCTGAGTAATTGCGCAGCAGCCCTGGAGCCCTCCGCGCGGGGGCGGCCCGACGCTTTCCCAGGACAGCGGCTTCAAAGAGGTCCTGGCTGCCCCCACAAGCCGGGCAGACACATCCCCAGCCCTTGAATATTTCTTAGTAATATATTTTAAAAGCT